ACGTTCCTTTAAAAGTTTGCAACTCGTGACGTCACACGATATTTCAAATCAACATAACGTCGAAAGTATTTCATTTTTTATGAAACGAATAATACATTTTTGATTTTTTTACATAATCTACTAAACGGACATCCTTACTATTATAAATGGGAAAGTGAGTTAGTTTGTTTGTTCCGCGTTCACGCCGTCTAAACCGATTGATTTGAATTTTTGCAGACGTGAAGTTAGAAGTCCAGATTAAATAATAGGGTAGTTTTTATCCCGGAAAATTTTGATATTCCCGAGGGAAAACTAAAGAATTGATATAGATGGCGCTGTGTATATTGATATATGTCACATAGGCTACTTTTATCCTTTTGAGACGCGAGCGAAACCGCGGTTCTGAATAAAATAAAAGTGCAGGTAACATTTTAAAATTCGTTAGACGGGAACCGCATCTCCTCTGTCAGAGATCCCAATCTCTTTTCTCGTACAGTTTAGACATCGCTATGAATCTAAGCACAAATGTAACAATTACCAAACAAAGCCAAAAGGTTTAATCAACAGTTTTGCTGAACACAACCATCATTATGATGTACAAGGTGCTAATTATGGCTAAGTAGAACGATGTTAAGTAATAAACACATTATGTACAGCAGTTGAACAAGCGAGGTGGCATAAGATAAGCTCCCGCACTTACCGCTGTCGAGGCTGTGGGAAATTGGAAACGTCAGTGAGATGCGTGACTGCACTTACTATTGTTCTAACTGGGTAGGTCGAACTATGATTCTCCATCTTTATATGAATATGCATTTTTATTACGAACAAGATTTTGTCAATGTCTTATATTAATCTCTAGATTAGCAGTGTAGCAGCTTATCAGTTTTGGGTTTGTGATTGATCAATTAATCAAGGTTTTATTTGATTTACAAGGCTATTTTTTGAGAAACAGGGTTTTTTTTTAAATTCTCAGTAGTAGCACGGAGTTTGGAATTGTGCCTGGTATATGCACTATGGCAATAGGTTCACCCCCTATTATATGGGACTCATAACATAAATAGTGAAAAGTGTGTGTTACGTTGTACAGTGGCTTTAAATGCCGTAATGTGCACCTGTGCCCACTTCGAGGATAAAAGGCGTGATGTTATGTAGGTATTATGTAATCTTTTTTTCAGGATTGTAGACTAAAAGTGACAAAACATTTTGTAGATTATATAAACTAAGAACTTCCTAACACATCAATGACATCTAAACGAAAGCGGATAACTTAATATATTTTAAAAAGCACATTCTTATGCAGTTGCTTTGTAATTGAAATATATTACGCACATGTTTGCATGTAAATTAATAGATATTAGATACGGTACATTATAGTGAGCGGTGCATCTAGTTTCGTGTCTTGCAACACTGGTACATCGGGAACTGTCGATAGCTATGAATTATAGGCTGGCTGCAAACTTTGAGTGCCTTATGAAGCGCAAAGAGTACTGGTTTCATTACCCCGTAACAGATTCGACCTGACGTTAATGCTGGCGCCAGACATGTGCGAACTAAGTATTCACATCGTGTGTGCACGGACATTTTTGATGCTATTTGGTCCGTGGTAGATAATGTAAACACTAGTGCGCACTTGTCTGGCAGCAGCATAAAGAGAGCGCCTCAAAAACTTGTATAACCGATGATTTAATGTTTTTACACACATAATGTGAACTCGTTCTTGTTGCTACTGTTAAACAGACTATTGTTGAGTGCAATTAATGCTTTTTATCAATTTCCTTTGCATTTTGATCTGTCTGACACATGTCGTGACCTGGTTGTATTTCATGGCAACTGTTGATTGTAGTATGTATGGCTTTCGCAGTTTCTTATACATTAATGAACAAGCCATGTGCAAAGAAACGTGGTGTTTACGTTAAGACGACATGCAATTATGCATAATGAAGTCTCGGTTTCACATTCTTAGGGTGTGTAATTTTATTTGAATGGTTATTATAATGACGTACTTTTTCTCTAATTTAGTTTAGTTTAATAAAATTAAACATACTGGCGATTTATATTAGGCGTACAGTCTAACACTGCGTATTATAAGCGACTACAGGTCTATTACTAAGTTTATCACTATACTGGAATTCATAATAATATACCTACCTAACGGGTAACCGGGGCTCCGACTCGACGTGCAGGAGAAGGAACAGGGTGGTTTTTAGTCAGTAAGAGTCTGACACTCCCTTCCGCCTTACCCAGGCGGGACCCATTACCCACCCCTTAAAAAAAAATCCTACGCAGTTCAATTATCGGATACATTTTAAAATGTTTCAATTAAGTTAAAAAAAAAATCCTACGCAGTTCAATTATCGGGTACTTTTTAAAATATTTCAATTAAGTAATAGTTTTTAAACGTATGTACCTAACATGGACTGAAAAATTTCATATCAGTTACTATATCATCATGTACCTACTTTTATTTGAACATAAAAAAATGTAGTGAAGGTGGCGACGACGTGAGGAAAGCATTGGAACTTTACAGAACTGTGACTTTCAGAGCCATCTATCGGTCGAATTCGCATGTACCTTTTAAAGTTGACAGCAAGTGAAAGTGAGCGATACGTGGTTCCCACTTGAAAACCTAGATGTCGTTTAGCATTTTTATTCATTACTTACCTTTTTAAATTTTATAAAGGAAGATTCTTTGCTTATATTGCCTAATTATAGTGCAACAATGTTTGTCCTATGTGGAACTCTTCCCAAAGTTCAAGCTGGCATAAATGATGCATAAAAATATAAAATTCAAAGTTTTCCTTCATAGTCGGTCAACTGTGTACATGCAAAGGCAGCAGTCTGTAACGAACAGTAATTTGCACCAGCATGCTTATTAACACACATAAATCATATTCCCGCTATTTGTTTTACTTAATGTAAGCAAATTACGTGTAAATAACGATGCAATTCCATTAAGTCCTGAGATTAGGTTTCGAAAGATTGATGATAAATAAAGTGATTAAGTCATCAAGTATGTATAGAAAATGGTGCTTAGCTTTTTTTTTTGAAGAGGTGTTGATGATCCTTGTTTTATTTGCAAGCCATAGTTGAGTAAATGGCCTGTAAAGAATATTATGTATTGTGAGGAAAATGTCGACAATTGTAATGTCTTATGAGTACTTATTTATCAATTTATATTGTGATTAGTTTTCTGAGGGAAATACTACGCTGCGCCGTGATTCGAGTTATCGCTCTCGGGTCACGGAATTTTAGCTGAGCACTTGGCCTTTTTGAGCCGTGTACGTGTACGCTATTTTTTTGAACAATTTTCTTGTTATACTTTTTGTAACGATGCAAATAAACTTTTGTTTTTTCCTACTTATAAAAATCTGATATCTAGAAGGCACCTACTAGCATGAAGTAAACAAATATTTAACTATTACAATAGGGTAGATGACTCATTTTTATTTTAATGTCCGTTTGGTGGATTATTCAAAAACATTAGCCACGTATTTTTAATTTTTTTTTACGAAAACGAATAGTTTCGAAGTTATATCTATTGATTTGTAATGTCGCGTCACTTCTATGTACATTTTATACGTAGAAATGATGTTTTAGCCCCCACTCCTAAACTCTGATTCGTTATATCTAAGTATCATTTTATTATATAACAAAATAAAAAAATATGTGTCTAATATTTTTTCATTGCCTAACTGACGGACTAATTACATTTTTAATTTTCATACCCTGTCATCATCCCTATTGTATAAATTTGTTTCAATTTAAAACTACAAAATGATAAAATGAAACCAATAAATATGCTTCTCTTATAATTTTATTTTTAACACTTTGTAATATTCTATATTTTGTTTGTAATTACGTGTTGATTAACATTCGTAATATTTACTTATTACAAACATTTATTTAATACAAATTAATAAAAAAGAGATTATAAAACACTGAGTATCTACGATATGAAAAGAAATATTTATCAGGTCTATTCTCAATTTTGTCCGCCATTCCAAGTGAGCAAAGTCTGAAGCCTACGCCTCTCAATTTACGTTTATGATTTCAATTGTGTACCTACTTACCAACTATTCAGATTCAATATCTTTTTCGAACTGTCAAAAACAACAGTTTTGTATGAATTTATTTTTGAAATGAAGTTCAACTAACGTTTGATTATAATAAAGGTAAGTTTAAACAGAGGCTGAACTCTTATTTCTTTGCTAAACCTCTAATAAGTTCTATAAATAGTCCTTTTTAAGACTTTTGTATATCTAGGAAAATGAAAAAAGGCTTTATCTATAAATAAATAAATGAATGATGTAACGTTACTTCAAACATTCTTCAAATTTAAAATCATGTTTCAGAAATGAAATCTTATTAATATTTTATATACTTAATAAGTATTAGTGCTGAATTTAAATGTGGATTAAAAACGAAAGAGATTGCATAGAAACTATGGACATATTGTGTAAAAAATTGATGAGTCTATAATAGTAGATTAACGTTCGAAAGGAGAATGGAAACAGAAGACGTATAACGCCCACCTCGAGTAACTTCGGTAGAAAGAAAAAGCAGATCATGGGAATAAGAATGGCAATAGAATAGGTATTAGAAGCGATTATTTAAATCCAATATTTGAAATCTGCAGTTTAGGGAACAGACAGACTCCTTTTCTTAAGGAATTCTCGTCTCTGTTCCCTAAAGTACCGTAGAGACAATGTAAGGCCCTTATGGCCTTAGAGATATGTTAAAGTGTACTTTGACTCCGAACTTTAGAGTCTAAAGTACAGATTTTCAGCTTGTGTATTGACATTTACATCAAATATTTACATTAAGAACTAGATTCATTTTCGAGAGCAAGTATACTGAATAGAGCTAGTAGAAATGTGACGTAGAATGCCGTAAGAGTAGAATAGAAGTAAATGGTCATCATCAAGAATAAAGTTATTTGTTCCGAAGATCAAAAATTATAAATACAACCTTATAGACATTGACTTAAGCGATAAAGTGAATCTTTGCTTTGCTATCACGGTATTTCTTCAACAGGGTGGCCGATAAACATTAGGTTTCCTCTCAGTACTGGGTGAAGTCTTGCGGTATTGTCTTAAAGCGAGGTTGAGGTCATAGAAACTCATATGATGGTAGGAATAATATTCCGGATTCTTATAATGGCAGCATTTGCCTGCACCGCGTCCGAGAATCTGTAAGAAAAGATAATAGTGATGATAGAGTTGTTCCTACTTCGTGTTGTCAAGAATAATCTTGGTTGGTTTTTACGTGCATACAAAAGCACATACAAACCTATGAAATTGTGACCTCAGTAAACAGTAGAAATACCATCTATATAAATAAAAATGAATTGTTGTTCGTTAGTCTCGCTAAAACTCGAGAACGGCTGATCTGATTTGGCTAATTTTGGTCTTGAAATGTTCGTGGAAGTCCAGGGAAGGTTTAAAAGGTGAAAAAAATATTTTTTAGGCGGTACGAAGTTTGCCAGGTCAGCTAGTTAATATATAAATAAGAAAAGTAAGGGTCAAGTAGAACGCAAGAAAAAGTAATTTGTTAAAGTCTAAAGAACGAATGCATAGCCAAATTACAAAAAAAAAATAGAAATAGAAAATGAAACAATATCTTCTCTTGTATTGATATCGATAAAATACCCATATGATACATTAATTTAAATTTCTATAAAATTAACCATGTACAAACAGTTCTAAAATAGTACAGGATACTTAATTATAAGATGAAAGGTACCTCTCCTGTAGCGTTCCTGAAGACTCCAGTCGGTATGTTTTCCAAAGTTTTGAAAAGAGGACACACATTATTGGATGAAAGGTTGTGACCTAACTTGCGACACTGAAATCGATATAAGCAAACATTTAAACATAGATTAATTAAACAATTTAACTAAACTCTACAGACATTATAAAAAAAAACGGATGTCAAAGACAAATAATTTAGATCGATTACACTATTTACTCGTCGAGTACCGGTTTTGCAGACACAATTATAGAACAATAGGTTGCGGTCACCGGTGACCGCTTGGTGTTTGACAGTTTAAGGCATTTTGAACGTCAAAAAACACAAGGTCTGTCTGTTGGTCAGTAGCTGCTGAAGCCATTAACTGGTTCTAAAGTCAAGCTTCCCAATGGAGCAGAGATAGCAAGAAACTCCATGGTTACTCTGTGCAGTACGAATAATAGAATCAGACAAAAGACTCGTTCTATGACACATGAAATTCTTTAATAAAACCGACGTGAAGCAACGCTTGCGTTGTGTTTCGTCGTGTGAGTGAGGTTACCGGAGGCCCAATTACCCTCCCCTTCCCCAATCTCCGCAAGGCCGGTAACGCACTTGTAACGCCTCTGGTGTCCCAGGTGTCCATGGGCGACGCCGATTGCTTACCATCAGGTGATCCGTCTGCTAGTTTACCGGCTTATGCCATAAAAAAAAAACAACGGTGTATCATGGGTGTTAACAAGTTAATTTTTCATGTACACATTACAAAAAAAAAAAAATAGTGGCACATAAGGCGAACTTAATGCCATCTACCAATCAATCTTACGGTTTAAATAGAAAGTCTGCGATAATAAGGTACGGAGATTTATTCTCCGTAACAGCAAAAAGAAAATATAAAAATTGTATAAGTCATATAGGCATACATTAATAAGTTGATAAAGCGAAAGCGGTAGGTAAGAATCATAGCAATTGGCGTTCCATTGTATCTGCCTACCCCTTGGGAGAAAGGCGTGAAGTTATGTATGCACATAAATATACTACTTTCAGATTGGTAGACAATACAATTTTTAATATTCTTACATCATACAAGGTGGGACCACCGGGGGTAGGATCCTTATTACTGTCACTATCATCACTTGAACAACTACTTTGGAACCGCATTGTGACGTCACTCAGCCCATTAGAGTAACGGAACACGTTGACTTTCGGTATTACACCTGCGACTATGACCCTACGAACAAGCTCGGGTATCACTGCCATTGCTATGGTATGGGATAGGTTTTGTATAGGCGTATTAATTTGAATTTACTTCATTTTTTCTGATTGGGAAGTGCTGGAGCTTTTTTGTTATAGTTGCTTTACATTTTGTTTTAGTTTACTTTTGTGTTTATTTCACTTTTGTATAGTTTTTTCCTTGTACTTATTGTAGGTACTCTTTGATTTTAACTCAACTCATGTCATGCTGACATCTTTCAGAATTTGATAATTATTTTGATGTAAAAAAGAGGTGTAAAGCTATCGACCTATCAAGTATATATTTTTAACGATCAGAAGATTTAAAAAAAACAATATGGGATGTAGTTACATTTTATTAGATTACGCGAATACAATTTCAAATTAAACTTATCAACCGATGTTTATTTAAATAGGAACATAATAACAATAACTTAATATGAAAATAATAGCATTGAGAATTTAGATAATTAAAAATGAAAAATATAAGTCTCACAGAACTTGACCGATTTTCCCGCTCCGAATAACAGCTGACAAAATGGCCGAGTGCGGGTTGCCCCGCGCTTTTTATAGTAAGTTCAAGATGGAGATGGTCATCCCTAACAATATATATAAAAAAATCCTATAAAGAAACAGCCAGCATAATGCACTGTTGTCGACTGCTTGTTGGTTGATCTGTCGTGTTGGTCGTAAAATTACAGGCAGGACCACGAAGGAGCCAACACGCAGAAGGTATTGGTCTATGTAAGGGGTAGAAAGGGTAAAATTAATAAATGAAAAAGTAATAAATCAGTGCTCGATGTACTTTTGTACATCTGTACCTGCAAGTAAAAATGTAACAATTATGTTTGTTTTTCAAGAGTATAAAGCGCCTAATTATTTTAGAATAGCAAGTATTCCACAACTTACATCTCATGTAGGCGTTCATCGCCTATATTAAATAACCACCGAAACTGTTACTAGTTCGGTATCTCCAGTATGTGTACTGTTACTTTGACTTTTATCCTCAATGCTCTCCTTCTGTGCGACGTATCGCTAGTTTGATTCCCGCATGGAACAATACTTTGCGCAACCCATTAGTGACCGAAGGATTTTATTAATCTTTATTTTATAAGTAGGGATTTTTTCCTACGAGAAAAACGTCAGCCCTATTATAGAATACAAAATTCAGCACATATCTATATCTATACATATAAAAAAATTGTAGAAAAGTGCTGTCTGTACATTGAAAATAAAAATAAAAAAAATAGCAGGGGCTATTGTTATGTCGATGTCGAACCCAAAAATGTAACTAACTTTTTTTTTGTCTGTTTGTCTGTTTGTCTGTTCACGCTAATCTCAGAAATGGCTTATAAATATATATATATTTAACAGGGTGCGGAAAAGGTGATAGTGGTTTTATTCCTCAGATTCCTCTCATTCCAAAAAATTTTCCGTTTAATTTTAAACGAATTCAGTTTCCAGTGAGCCTATGTTTCGCCATGACAATTAATAAAGCTCAAGGTCAGACTCTAAAAGTTGTGGGTATAGATCTAAGTATCAGCTGTTTTTCGCACGGTCAATTGTATGTGGCTCTGTCCCGTGTTAGCAATCCCAGCAGCCTGTATGCTTTCACCCCCGATGGCCATACGTCTAATATTGTAGATAGAGAAGCATTACAGTAAAGTAGGTTTTTTAGCTACCCAAAATGACTGTGATTATGATCCAAATCTAAAATAAAAATAAGTATATATTTAAAAAAAAAACGCTGCTCATAGTCACTATTCTACGCGAACGAAGTCGCGGGCACAGCTAGTTCTAAAATAAAGTAGTTAAACCGTTTATAGGTTTAACTAGCTTAAACGTAGTCGCGGAGAACCTAACGGGTAACCGGGGCTCCGGCTCGACGTGCAGGAGAAGGAACGGGGTGGTTTTTAGTCAGTAAGAGTCTGACACTCCCTCCCGCCTCACCCAGGCGGGAGCAGTCATTCGATGATTGTCCCCCTTAAAAAAAAGCTTAAACGTAAAATAATTTAATGATACAATTCTATAACATCAGATCGCAATGGTGACGCTAAAACAATGTGAAAGAAACCAATAAAGATCGGATACCTCGTAGACTCAATACATCGACACTCATATAAAATGTGTTGCACGTCCTCTACAACATCACACACAGCACTTGGGTGATTCGCCGAAGGATCCTTTTCCTTGCCAATGCCGATAGTGGGCGCCGGGCCTAAGTGACCCCTATTGTCGAAGCATTCTGACTATACTTTATAGCAACCAATAGCAAATTTAAGAATGTGTGCGTATACCTACTGTTTAAAGGTCATCGCACATCTACATTGCTCAGGTGCGGATCCGGCACGGTGTTGTATCTAAGCTCGCCGTTAACTCGCTTTCGAAGCGCCGACTCCACGCCATCGCCACGCTGCCGGAGTATATACGGTGCGCCTTCCCCAATACTTACTATACTCTTTGGGCGCGCCGCCCACGAGCTGACAGCGCGCCGTAGGTACATACGTTGTACGCAGGCGCCTCGACTACAACTCAAACTCCGCGTGTACCGCGCGCTGACCACCAACCGTCGGCTTTTTGTATTGACGTTGTGAAATGTGTTATACGACATACGATTTAAGGCGCGGGCCCACCGCAGCGCATGCTGTGCACGGGCACGCGGCGCATTTTAGCTGCGTGTATTAATTTGTTTGACAACGTGCGTCTACGTTTCCACCGGAGTACACGAATATGACCCACGACTATGTATATTGTGGCACGGAGCACGGAGAGGCTACGCACGTGCCACTGCAATCCACGGACACGGGCTTCACTGCGGGAGGTGTGGGGAGGTGAAACGAGAGGTGAGAGATACGATATATATGAGAAACATGAAATGCGTCTGTTCCACAAGGTGTATGAATGAAAACTGCACTGCGATAAGTGAGCTGTATATAGTCGACGGTCATATTCGTGTACTCCAGTGGAAACGTAGACCCACGTCGACAGCGTTGAGCTATGTAACCGCCTATTCGAGCAAGCCACGCATGTGTCAATGACGTCAATTCATGCGTAGCCTCTCCGTGGGTTGCAGTGGACACAACCACATACAATTTCTTTCAAAGCGAAGCTTAATACACGTGAGTAGCCTCTCCATGCACCGCGGTGGGCCCGCGCCTTTAAAGTCCATATTTTAATTTACAAGCGCGGGCCCACTGCGGTGCACGGATGCTTCGTATGAATTGACGTCTGAGACATGCGTGCCTTGCTCGAAAAGGCGGTTATATAGCTCAAGGCTGTTGACGTGGATCTACGTTTCCACTAGAGTACACGAATATGACCCTCGATTTTGCGTATTCACGGCGTAGCCTCTACGTGCGCCGTGACACGTGTAAGAGCGCGTTATCGAAACACGCACTTAACGGTTTTCATGTCAACATGGCCTTATACCATCTACGATTTCTAACTAAAATTTCACCTTGAAATAAAAGAGCAAGTACAATTAAACATTTAATGCCTTCGGATTATTTTGCACTTTTTCTTAAGCTTTCAGGAAATCAGTGAGAATAGGAACAATGCTTGTTCAGCAGAGCTTCATCACCAACATAGGCAAGCCAGCTACTGCCGGGCCACCACTCGCCATGGCGCCTCCGTCTCTTGGCGCAGAGCAACCTGTACAACATTCGGGTGTCAAGATTTTCATTATATTGTGGTGTTTCTGTGTGCCTTGTGACACCAAGTCTCGTCCAGTGGGTCCTTTCACACTACTAATAAAGCCACCGCCACCTCTACTCAGTGGGTTGCGGCCCGGCTGCGCTGAAGCCGGAGTCTCGAAACAGTCAGCTTTGCACGGAAGGTCCCACACGCAGGGCGGCGGTGGTTGCCAGTGTACACACCCAGGTCTAGTACACTCTTCTTTAGTAGTAGTTTTCGTGATATCGCGATCGCGTTGTCGACCACTCGATCCTGCTACCTTTTTATCATTTACTTTCAATTCTTTAGATTCAAACCTTTGTAATATTTGGTTAAGTGTATTTTCATCTACGTCATATATCGATTGCATTTTTTGTGACCCAGAACCAGACTTACATTTGCAAGGACATGAAGATGTGGTTGGAGTATTTGGCGGAATTGGTAAAGGTTTAACCACACCTCCGGGACAAATGCATGCATACGGTTTTACTCCAGCAAAAGGGGCTTGTATTTGTTCATTATGTTTCGGTGCAGCACCCTTATCACAGGTACATTTACATGAATTAGATTTCATTTCACCAGTAGGTGGAACGATTTTAGGTGCTGCAGCTGCGCCACCAGTACATATGCATGTATGAGGTTTCATTCCACTACTTATGGGGGCTTGGGTAGGTACAAATATTTTTGGGCACTTACAGCATTTCCCGTCGTTTCTATCCACACCTGCATCGGGAATGATACCCTTCAATTCGCAGACAATAAAACGTTTTCCACGGGAACTGGAGCTTGTCGGTCCACCTGAGCCACTACTGCCTTGAGGATTAGTGTGGGCTGCGAGAACAGCGGGGTCGGCGAGGCCACGAGCACGAGCCAATTGGCTAGGCGCGCACAATGGGTCGGGCAAGACAAGACAGGCGGGCTCGCCGCCACATCCAGTGCGGCGACAGTCGTGCTGGAGCCCATTTCGCTTGATGCAATGACAACTGTAGTACATGATGCCACCACGCAACTCACGACTCTTGGTTCGCTTCAACTGATTTTCCGTTTCACTTTTTTTTTGCTCGCCGTCCTCCACCATTTGCTGGCCAGGACCATTATTCAAAGGTTTGCCTTTCTGTGAAAAAAATAGTAATTGATAACTTTACTGACACCATTAAAACTGTCTGTCCGCCGTGAGTGATTGAATAGTAAATTACCGAAACTTGTGAGACAAGAGGACGACGAGGAGGACGACGACGCGGAAAAGCCTTCTAGCACTACCACTGCGATATTAGGTCGAAGTCACTGAAGCGTGTGACGTAGGTCTTGCCGGGTGGTGGGCGTCGCACACACGGCGGACAGCATGGCGGACACGGTCTGGAGCAGCAACAGTCTGCCCGGCACAGGTACCGTATTGAGCCCTGCTGGAAGAACTGGCAATCTTGCAGTCCATTACGCTTGAACGCAGATCGCGGTAGACACTGCAGCTGAACATCGACATGGCTATTAGATCTCTTATCACCAATATTTATTCTGACATTTCAATTTCTTTACATTCTAACTTACCGGAGGACCACAGTCTTCATATTTGTAGCAAACCATGGGGCCACAAGGAGAACACCTTTAACAAAAACAGCCATTAAACAAACGTATACATAGGATTGGAGTAAAATCGACCTTTTAAAGAAAGTACTTACATTTTGAAAGATTATGTTTCTCCTACAGCACAGCGGGGAGGAGGGTTTTTATATTATTTTCAATATTTTTAAGTGTGTAATTAGTTAGTAGTTCATTAAATTAGTACGAGAATTTAGGCTTTTTGTTTTAATAAAATTTACAAAATTTTTATATAAAATTTACATCTAAACTAGGCGAAGTAAAGAATCCTTCTGTCAATATATTTTTTCTTTTGTCTGTTTTTCGAAATTCCTCTAATTTTTTGAATATTCTGTTTACACCAGTATCAATGTCTAAATATTTTGAAAAAGTCTTTATGTTTGATGCATTTGAAGAGTCAATTCATGTTGAGTCGGTTCTTTCACCAATGTGTTCAGAGGCTCAGTTCAGAGGTTCAGTCTTTGTATGATGATAGATACACATTGTTCTATCCTTAACACTGGTTAACTTGCATGCATCTAAGGATGGTGGATGATTTGAACTTAAATATTACTGCTAGCGTATTAATTTATTTGACCGGTTTGCTAATTTGTTTACACAAAAGTGAATTCAATTTGCAATATTTGTAATTGACAATTATTACGCAGCTATATCGGCAATACATAGCCGTACCAGAAATATTTGAATAAAACTGCAGTATTGCCGGCTATAATACTGCAACCACACGATGCTCATTTAAACGCACCTCAAAACGTTTATAATCTTGGATTTGATGGTAATAGGTAGCGTTATTATCCATATGTAGTTCTCGCTTCCCTCTCATAGGTCAGTGACATGCACGTTTGTATGTGCCCATAAAACAGCAGTCTGAGGAATCGTTACCATGAGATCATTCGAAATGTGGTTAGTAACACCTGTAGTATTCCACCAATTTCTCCTACCACGGGCGTAGCTTGCAAATACTGCTCAACTCTTCGGCATGTGGATTGGCGCAATGCGTTTGACATGCCACTCGAGCCGGTTCACAAAGTGGTGCTGGGAGAACGGAACAGAGCGGACTATTCTGGCATCCAGTTCTGCGACAGTCGTACTGCAATCCATTTCTTCGAAGGCAAAAACAATCGGTAGAGAGTATACCACCCCTTAACTCCCGACTTTTGCATAAACGAAGAGATTTTCCATGATTTTGACTTGGGTGATTTATTGTCTTACTTGCAAAAGGGCACTTTTCGAACTGACTTTCTGTATTTCTTGAATTTGAACATTCAATATTCGCTTTGGTAAAAGCAATGTTTTGTTTAAATCCATTTTTATCAAAAGCATAAAGGACGCAATTATTGTTATTTGCGTTATTCAGCAATTTCGACAGCGACGGACATTGCATAGAATTTACGACTTTTATGTTTTCATTTTGCATTTTTTTTGATGATGAACAGTACTTTTTTTGTTTGCTTTTTGATGGATTATAGCCTGTCTCTTTGCTAGCTAACCGCGCTTTTAAGCAACATGGAAAAATAATGTTAAACTTCCTGGGATTGTCTGGCGCTGGTGGTATTTCACCTAATTCAAAGCAAGAAGTCTCACCATCATACTCCACGCACTTAACATGCGGTTTAACTAATTTGTCGGTGCCACAAAAATTGTGCTTCATTTTTCAATTTTTTTTGTGTTAGTTTTGTATTTTTATATTTTTACGCAGCCGATAAACTGTTATAAAATAATTATGAAAAATGTTAAATGTTAATCCATACTTGTTGATTTAGTTAAATGAAGAGAATTGGAAAATCCACTCTCGACCATCTTGATTACAAAATTACAAAACTACACATACGAACTTTTTGACAAATAAAAACCTTTGTACAGAATCAGCAATACTGGCCATCATATTGAGAAGCAACACAAATCATATTTTCTTAATTCTTCAAACTATATTCTACATTCAAACACATTCCGAGGTGTTCTGTAGAAGTAAGCTGGTTGACATTGGTAGTACAATTAAATCGTTTGCGTGATTCACACAATAATAAAAAGTCCCAAAAAAACTTTATTATTCTAAAAACTTTTAAAAACTAGTTCCTTTCCACAACGTTGCCGGTCCATTTTGACCTGTTTTAGGCCCTATAAAGTACTCTTTACCCTCAATAGAAAATGTAAGTACATTTCGTATGGTTAAAATAAAACCCTCGTAAGGCTTGTTTGTAATTTCAATATTATTCCGTAGGTGTTGCGGACCTTGTGGTGGTTGCTGCGGCGGTTGCTGCGGTGGTTGCTGTTGCCCATGCATCACTATCTACACTTGCTGCACGAAGATTTGCTAGTCGCACACGAGATTTTGCGCGGACAAGCCATGGTGTCTGCGTCGAAATCGGCGCTTGAACGCCTTCATGTTTGTCTTCGAAGTCAATCCGTGCCGTTTTGTGGAAATAAACTACTATAAATAAGCGTATCAATTAGTTTTATTTAAATCGCTAGCTGAATCTGGCCCCAGGAGGGCTTGTCGGCTAGGTGCCTCTGGCCCCAGGAGGAAGGGCTTGTCGGCTAGGTGCCTCTGGCCCCAGGAGGAAGGGCTTGTCGGCTAGGTGCCTCTGGCCCCGTTAGGAAGGGCTTGTCGGCTAGGTGCCTCTGGCCCCGTTAGGAAGGGCTTGTCGGCTAGGTGCCTCTGGCCCCGTTAGGAAGGGCTTGTCGGCTAGGTGCCTCTGGCCCCGTTAGGAAGGGCTTGTCGGCTAGGTGCCTCTGGCCCCGTTAGGAAGGGCTTGTCGGCTAGGTGCCTCTGGCCCCGTTAGGAAGGGCTTGTCGGCTAGGTGCCTCTGGCCCCGTTAGGAAGGGCTTGTCGGCTAGGTGCCTCTGGCCCCGTTAGGAAGGGCTTGTCGGCTAGGTGCCTCTGGCCCCGTTAGGAAGGGCTTGTCGGCTAGGTGCCTCTGGCCCCGTTAGGAAGGGCTTGTCGGCTAGGTGCCTCTGGCCCCGTTAGGAAGGGCTTGTCGGCTAGGTGCCTCTGGCCCCGTTAGGAAGGGCTTGTCGGCTAGGTGCCTCTGGCCCCGTTAGGAAGGGCTTGTCGGCTAGGTGCCTCTGGCCCCGTTAGGAAGGGCTTGTCGGCTAGGTGCCTCTGGCCCCGTTAGGAAGGGCTTGTCGGCTAGGTGCCTCTGGCCCCGTTAGGAAGGGCTTGTCGGCTAGGTGCCTCTGGCCCCGTTAGGAAGGGCTTGTCGGCTAGGTGCCTCTGGCCCCGTTAGGAAGGGCTTGTCGGCTAGGTGCCTCTGGCCCCGTTAGGAAGG